ATCACCTACACCTTCGAGCCTCGCGTCTGGCGCCGTGTCATGAACAAGGAAACCGCCGTGACCGTGCGCAAGATGATGAACCGCACCACGCAGGTCGGCACCGCGCGCAAATACTTCCGCTTCAGGAACGAGTTCCCTCGCGATATCACCACCGGCGGTAAGACGGGCACGCTCTCGAGGAAATCACCGAGCTACCTCGGCTACACCTGGTTCGTCGGCTACGGCGAGGCCAATGAAAAGGATGGACCCCAGATCGCTGTCGGTGGACTCGTCTGCAACAAGCCCCTCTGGCACATCAAGGGACCCTACGCCGCCAGCGAAGCGATCCGCATCTACATCGAGAGCAAGCGCGACCAGATCACGGCCACCGCCGAGAAGAAGCAAAACAAATCCCAGAAAGAAGGCTGATTCGAGACGACTCACATCATCTCGGACCCCACATCATCAGAGGTCGCCCCGAAGGGCGGCCTCTTCTGCTTCGTAGCGCTCGTCGATCTCCTCGAGCTCGAATAGCTTCTCCTCCCAACGCTCCATCAACCCCACGATCTCTTCACCGAGTTGATTGTACTCCCTGGAGACCTCGGGCAACCGCTCGGCGTCCTGATAGATCTCAGGATCGGCCATCATCGCTTCGAGCTCTGCTTTCCTCGCCTCGCCCTCCTCGATCCGTTTCTCCAACGAGGTCACCTCGGCGCGCAAATCGCCGGATTCAGCCATGCGACGCTCGCGCAGCTCCGCCAACACGCGGCGGAGCTCCTTCTTCGTCAGCGCGCCCGTGCTCGTGCGCGCGAGGCCATCATCCCCCTGGTCACCGCCCTCCCCTTGCTCCTCGGCGAGTAGCTGCTCCCGGCTCCACTTGTAGTAGTCGTAGTCTCCGAGATATTCGGTCAGGTCGCCGTGCTCGATATGCACGACGCGCTCGACCACTTCGTTCAGGAAGAAACGGTCGTGCGAGACGATGCAGACCGCGCCACCAAACTGTCGGATCGCCTCCTCGAGGACCTGGCGCGACGCGATATCGAGGTGGTTTGTCGGCTCGTCGAGCAGGAGCACACCGCTCGGCCGGAGCATCAACTTCGCCAAAGCGAGCCTCGTCTTCTCGCCACCAGACAACACCGAAATCTTGCGCTTGACCGCATCGTTCCCGGCGAACCCGAAGGCGCCGAGGATGTCTCGCTCCTTGCCGCTGGTCTCGTGGGTGGAGTAGGCGACCATCTCCTCGAGGATCGTGCGAGACAGATCGAGCTGCTCCACCGAGTGCTGCGCGAAGTAGGCGAACTCCACGCCATTGGCCAGGCGAACTTCACCGGCATCCGCCTCGATCACGCCCGCCAGCAACTTGAGCAAGGTCGATTTACCCGCGCCGTTCGGTCCGACCAGCGCGAGCTTGTCTCCTCGCGCGATCATAAAGTCGAGTGACTCGTAGACCACATTATCACCGTAGGCTTTCCTCACCCCCGAGATCTCCATCACGACCTTTGGCAACCGCTCGGGTTCGGGGAAACGAAACGCGAGCGAGGTCGTCGCGAACTCGGGGACCTCGATCATGTCCATGCGCTCGAGCATCTTGACGCGCGATTGGACCTGCTTTGCCTTGGTGGCCTTGTAGCGAAAGCGATCGATGAAGTCCTCGATCCGCTCGACCTCGGCCTGCTGCCGTTCGGCGGCGGCCTCGATGCGCTCCTGCTCCTGCGCGCGCTGCTCGAGGAACCTGTCGTATCCTCCCTTCCACGTGCGCATCCCGGTGGTGCGAAGCTCGGCGATCTCGGTGACGATCTTGTTCAGGAAGTAACGGTCGTGGCTGATCACCACCACGCACCCCTCGTACTGGTTGATGAACCCCTCGAGCCACTCGATGCTCTCGAGGTCGAGGTGGTTCGTCGGCTCGTCGAGCAGCAAGACTTCGGGGCGACGCAGCAACAACCTGCAAAGGAGCGCGCGCATACGCCACCCACCGGAGAAGGACTGGAGCGATTGCTCGAAGTCCTGCGTCGAGAACCCCATCCCGGCAGCGATCTCGCGCGCCGTGCTCCGGATCGCATATCCACCCCTTCGGCGAAATTGATCCTGGAGCGCGCCATACTCCTCGTTCACCGCGATCGCATCATCCGTCCCGGCGACCTCGCCGAGGCGTCGCTCGAGCTCGGACAACCGATCCTCCATATCGAGGATATGACGCGCTCCCTCGAGGATAAACGGAAGCAGCGGCTCGTTCGACTCGACGGTGATTTCCTGGGGCAAGTAACCGATCGCTGCGCGTTTCGGGATATTAACCTCGCCATCATCGGCCTCTTCTTCACCGACGATGATGCGGAAAAGCGTCGATTTTCCGACACCATTGGGGCCCACGAGCCCGATCCTCTGTCCGGGTGACGTCTGCCAATCGACGTCTCGAAAGAGCGTGCGAGAGCCGTAAGCCTTGGCAAGATTCTGTATGCGAAGCATGGTTCATCCGTGGGTCGAACAAGGGGAGTCATTGACAGTAAAAGATCGCAGTTGATACGCTCACTGATGTTATCGATCAAGTGCCGTCCGGCAACCGCACCCTGGAGCCTACATGTATCGTGCTACCTGCTCGCGCCTTATCCTGGCCCTGGTCACGCTCGCGAGTCTGTTTTTCTCGAGCAACGCCTTCGCTCAGGACGAGCCGGCTCGTGTCATCGTCCTCAAATTCGAGACCTTTGACGTCAGCGATGCCGTCATGGAGACCTTCTACTCGTCACTCGACAAATCCATCGACGCGCACCCGGAAAAGACGCTCGCCGAAAAGAACCCGGTCACCATCGGAGAGATGATGGTCACTCTGGGTTGCGAGAGCGCCACGCCAGAGTGCCTCTCACAACTGGCAGATCTCCTCGAAGGCGACCAGATCCTCTTTGGTTCAGTCCAGCGCTCCGAGAACATCCACCTGTTCACCATCCGCATCTTCGACCTGCGCACCGGCGAGTTCGAATCCCAGGTCGAAGATCAAACCGTCGAGGGTGATGAGCAAGCGGTCACGCAGACCATCCCCGCGCTTATCGATTCGCTGCTCTATGGCGACGTCGGCACCCTGAACGTCAACGTCAACGGCGCCGACGATGCCGAGATCTACTTCGACGGCAAGAAGGTTGGCAAGGCTCCCACGGGGTTAAAGGATCTCCCGCTTGGCGAACACGCTGTCACGCTGCGCACGCCCGACGGACGCGAGGAGACAAAGAAGGTCACCCTCAAGCGCGGCGAACCCTCCACGCTTGTCTTTAACTTCGAGGAAGTGACCGACCCGGGCAACGCCACTCCACCGAACTTCGTCAAGGTGGGCGGCTTCGCCTCCATCGGCGTCGGCGTGCTCTCTCTGGCGCTCGGGACGCAGCAGCGCCTCAAGCTCCGAGGGCTCGAGCAACAAGCCTCGAACGAAGCCGTCTTTAACGACGGTCAGGTCTCCGAGGACGAGGCAGAACAGGCCGCTAACCTGATCACGTTCTACCAACCTCAGATGCAGACCGCGCACAGGAACTCGCTGATCGGCTTTGGCGCTGGCGCCGCGCTCATCGGCCTCGGCACCGCGCTCGTCGTCATGTCCGGCAACGAAGCCCCCGCCGAGGAAGCGAACAACAAGCGGTTCAAGAACCTTCGCCTCGACGTCGCGCCAGCCCGTCAGGGCGCAGCGGCAGGACTGAGCTTCCAGTTCTGAAGCCAGACCACAGGCAAGCAATAAAGAAGGCGCCGAGTGATTCACACTCGGCGCCTTCTTTATTGCTTGCCACGGCGCATCAGTCACACCGCAAAGATTTAGGAGCTGCTCTTCGCGAGCCCGAGCGCAGCGAGCGCGCGGAGTTCGGCGTCAGGAGCCGAGAGCATCCCTCTAAAGGTCGCGAGCATATCCGAGGTCGCGTGCGCGACGAGGATACGCGCCGCCTGCTTACGCACGTTCAGATCGCGCTCCTTGCTGGCGAGGCGTTCGATCGTCGTGAGGTCTTGCTTGCTCGGGTGCGCGGCGAGCGTGTCGAGCAACGAGCGACGGGCGCCGACGTTGTAAGACTCCTCGGCGACGAGTGTGCGAATGAGTTCGCTGTACTCGGCGCGGTGGCTCTTGATGTACCCGAGCCCGAGCGGACGAACGCTGGTGAGGGTGCTCCTGGCGGCGGCCTCGACGATCGTCTTACGAGCCGCCTCGGGCAAGGTCTCGATATCGACGGCAAAGCTCGCTGGCGGCTCACGCAAGGCGCCGCTCATAAACGCCTTACCCTGCTTGGGCGCGATATGCATCGCGGCGACGAACGCGCTCCAGCGGACCTCCTTGTCGCGATCGCGAAGGAGCTGCTCGAGCACCTTGTAGCCATCCTTCTTCCCCTGCGCGCGGACCGCCGCGACGACCGCCTTCTTGATGGCGGGATCGGTCGAGGTCACCTGGAAGCGCAACACCTGGAGCGCGCGAGGATCATCGACGTTCCCGAGGGCTCCGATGACGGCGAGCTTGATGTCGCGGTTTTTCTCGCGGTTGAGCGCCTTCTGCAAGGCGTTCATCGACTGCTTGTTGGCCTTGCGCTGCAACCCCTGCGCGGCGTACAGGCGCATCATCGGGTTGCCTTCAAACAACGAGCGCTCGAGGAGGCCGATAACCCCGGAGTCATCCGTGTAGGGGAGCGCCTGGGTCGCGAGCAAACGCTCGTCGTAATCATTGGAGGCGTAGAACTTGAGCAACGTCTCCTTGATGGCGCCATCATTGGTCGAGCCAGCGAGCTTGTAGACGATGACCTTCTCGTCAGCGGGGAGCTCCTTCTCTTTCTCGAGCAGCGGCTTGATCTGGGCCATGGTGGGCTTGAGGCCGCGGTCGATGCCAGCGAGCGTGCTCGTCAAGAGCTCCTTGCGAAGCATCGCGTCCTCGGTGGTCGCCGCGATCTCGAGCGCTGCTGCGGCAGCGCTGCGATCGTTGAACCCGAGCAAGGCGCGCGTCGCCGCGAGACGAACGGTGTCATCCTTGCTGGCGACGCCCTTTTGAAGGACCGCGGCAGCGGCTGGTCGGCTGGTCGCGTTGGACTGAGCGATGCGATTGGCGAGGCTCACGCCGGCCATCTGCACGTCCTTGTCCTTGTGCGTGATCAGGTCACCTGCGACCGAGAGCGAGTCGAGCCTCGCCGCGGCGACGAGCGCGGTGAGCGATGCCTGCCTGAGGTCACTCCCCTTCTTATCCTTTGCCCACTTGACCAGGAGCTCGAAGAGGTCGCCGTTCTGCTCGGAGAGGTAGCGCGTCGTATCACGCACGATCTCGGGCTTCTTTGGCTTCTTGACGAGCTTCTCGAGGAGCTTTGTCTCCTTGCCATCCTCGATGTGACGCCTGCCGTACTTTATATGAATATTCTGGATGCGAACTCCAGCTGCTTTGGCTGGCAGGCGCGAGGCCCGCGCCGAGTCGCACGCCGGGATCATCGTCGGTCTTGTACGCCTCGAGCTCCTTGGCTTGTTTCTTATCTGCCCACAGGCCCCAGGTGATCAGACTGACCTGTTTGGCGGCCAGGTCCTGAGACTTGGTCGCCTCGGTGACCACTGGCGTCAACTCCTCGACGAGGGCCTTGTCCACCTTGGCAAACCCGGTGCCAGGAGCCAACGTCAGCGTAAATAGCGTGGCGACTCCAACAAGCACCAGCGAGCGTCTCAATCGTACAACCATGGTATCACCCATTCATCGAACTCCCGTGAAGCAAAAGAACCACCGAGCGAGCGAGCCCACGGTGGTTCTTTTCAAAACAAATTCATGATCAGAAAGGTTAGGAATCGAGGGCTTCAGGCGAAGTACTTGTCGATTCGGCTCTGGATCTTCTCCTGAACCTTTCCTTTAAAGGGTTTGGCAAAGAACTTCAGGTCGATGTCGATGCTCATCTTGTCGTCGTCGACCTTGAAGAGGCCCGCGAAGCCCTTCCCTTTGACGTCGGCGCGCGTCTTGTCGCCGTTCCACTGGATCGTGTTGATGAGGTCAGGAAACTCATCCTGGACATCACTCACGATCTGATTGGTCTTTTCCTTGGCCTCATCGAGCGAGAGTCCGTGCTGATGCGCGATGGAGATATCTGCCATGGGGTTCTCCTGTTTTCATGGATTGCATGTCCGCCATCTTCTCTAACGCTCTTCCAAGCGCCGGGATGCTCCCGGAAAGCTGCGGCACACGACGTTTAAGGTAAACAAACCCTCGAGCAATTTCGAGGTTTGTGCTGCGAACGGTACCAATTGCACAAATTTGCTGTCAACAAGCGGTGCATCCAAGACTTGAAACCACACTATGTTTCTTTTATGCCAGGAACAAAAACCATTGGCCCAAAGAATTATGTCAATATCACTTATCAACATTC